TATGGCTTACCATGGTTCCAATCTCAGACCTAATGGCTTACTATCTCATTTTCCCTCTTTCTCTACCTCTGTCTCTTTCTAGTGAAGAAGTTAAAATAATAAATAATATAAAAAATGAAATGATTCTTTTAAAAAGAACATTTAAAACTGGTCCTTTTATGGCTTTCTTGTGAAGAATCTTCTCAGAGCCCCATTTATGTCTTTATTCCTCAGAATGTAGATGAAGGGATTCAGCTTGGGGGTGATCACGCTGTACATCACCGAGGCTGTTGCACTTGAGTGTGTGTCATGGGTCACAGCAGAGCTAAGGTACACACCTAGACTTGTACAATAAAATAAGGAGACAACAGACAGATGAGAGGCACAGGTGGAAAAGGCTTTGTACTTCCCCTGAGCTGATGACATTGCTCGTATGGAGGAAACTATCTTACCATAAGAATAAACAATACCAGCAAGGAGAACACCAACCAGCAGCACAGATGCAAAATACATCATCATGTCATTAAGAAAAGTGTCAGAACAGGCAAGGTGAACCACTTGTATAAGCTCGCAGAAAAAATGAGGGATTTCTGGAAGTGAACAGAAGGACAGCTGCAACACTGTTAAGCTTTGTAACAGGGAATGTAGGGCACTCAGAATCCAGGATGCCAGAACCAGCAGTCCACAGAGCCAGGGGTTCATGATGACCCTGTAGTACAGAGGGTGACAGATGGCCACAAACCTGTCATACGCCATCACGGTCAAGAGAAAGTTGTCCAACACTGAAAAAAGCAAGTAAAAGAACATCTGGGTGATGCAGCCTGCATAGGTGATAGCCTTGCTCTGTATCTGGATGTTCACCAGCATCTTTGGGATGGTGGTGGAGGTGAAACAGATGTCTAAAAAGGACAGGTTTGAAAGGAAGAAGTACATGGGTGTGTGCAGGTGGGAGTCTGAGATGGTGGCCAGGATGATGAGCAGGTTTCCAAGCATGGTCACCAAGTACATGGACAGGAATATTCCAAAGAGGAAAGCTTGCAGTCCAGGTTTCTCTGAAAAATCCCAGAAGAAGAAATTCAAAAATTCGTGTATCATTTCCTGGCTCCATGTGGTTGATGTGCATTCTAAAAGAAGAGAAAGATAACATGATACAAGCACACATTACTTGCCTGGCAGAGATTCCATTATTTCCATTCTATAGTCAAGACACTCATTCTCACCTTTTATAGATGGATATGTGCCCCTTTAGAGAATTTCTCTGTGCCATCTCTGATTCAGAAGTCATATCCTGCTATCAGCATTTCACAAGAGGTCATGTATTCAAAAATTTGAAAGATAAATTCTTTCATGAATTTGAGGAATTGAAATCGAGTGATGATCATAATCCAGGAACTGTCTATGTGGTGAATGAACAGTGCTAAAAATAAAATGTTTCCAAATTCTAATGACAGAGAAAAAGTTGCAAGTTAGTAAAAGCAAATATAAACAAAGAAATAGTCCAGATGATGGCTATGCTAATTGCCCTGACTTAATCATCATGCATTGTATTTATACTTATACTGAAAAATCACATTGTACTCTATAAATATGTACAATACTATATGTCAATTTATTTTTAATGTAAGAAAAAAGAAATAGTCATACTGAATGGTTGCAGGTACTATAAAGAAAAATGGGGCCACCCAGTGGAGTGGTGATTAAGGAGAGAGACAGAGAGAGGGAAATTGAGACA